CGCTCGGATCTACTCATAATGGGAACGCCGCGACCAACGCTGGCGTCTGTTGCAACACTATCCGGCTACAAAGGACCATCTACTGACCTTTATGTTCATAGACACAAAGGCCGAAATAGCAGTGAAGTTATTGAAGCATGAATATTCACGTCTAAATCACTAGCAATTTAAGCATTTATATTAATAATTCTCTTAATATGCATGACGCGCTCCGAACAATTACAGGCGCCAGTCGGTAGCGATAAGGCTGTCACCTGTCACGCGGTTAATTTATTGTTTCCTTCATCGATTCGAACGCCGTTGAATTAATAAAGCATCGACGAATGATATTTTAACAACAGATGCGTTGTTTGTTGTTGCGAATTGAAGACTGTGCAATGGCATATGCTCGTATGAAGTATTGATCATGTTGTTGATATTAGGTAATTTATTCGGATCTAGTTCGTTCGTTCGCAGCCAATTTGAAATGTATATGTCAGAAAGCTTCCATTGAAACATTTTAAAAGCCGCTACAGGATAATTCAATTTATATCAAATGTTAGACTATTCTCTCAGCCAGGACGTGGCTCATTTGGAAAATGTACACTCCTCACAGACAACCGGTGTAAAGTGGAAGTATTGAACTAAATTAAATGCAAAAATAAGGGGAAGCAATGTATTTATATATCATTTTTTTGGTGGGGTAAATACTTTTTGTGATAACAACCAAACTCATGCGTGTTCTCAATATCCATGGGTGATAGTCAATAAAAAGTGAATTGCCTTTCCCTGTCTTCCCATGACATTAACCTGTAAAAAATATTTTTATGTACTATAGTACATAAAAATATTTTTTACACAAATATTTACACAAAAAAAAAAAAAAAAAAAAAAAAACTAAAATATATTAAAAGATAAAGAGTAACCATACACCAAAAGCGTCGAAACGTTGCACCAGTTTTTCACAATTATCATTTTTCACATGTGTAAAATGTTAATTGCTTCGTTAGACGACGTTGCGGGTAATAATTTATTTCCCGCAGTGTTATGATAGGGGGGCTATTTTGGTGTTCCATACAGTTCAACGCCCTTGCCGATAACAAGTATCGATCGACGTTCATTTGCGAAGCACGAATGAGCACTCCCGATATCTCTTTTCAGATGGTAGTCGGAAGTAAGTGATTTAGATGTGGTATAGGCAAAATCAACGTGCCAAATCTATTGAGATACTCAAAAGGGAACATATATCGATGACCCGTACCACAGTTGCCAAGGTTTGGCAATGCAATTGTTCTCGAAAAGATGTCTATAATAGATCTTCCTAGGTCTCAGTGATAGTTGTGACTTATACTACAGGACATTACCCTTACAACAGGTGGACATTATCCTGTCTTGTTTGTTATATAGATAATAACGCGCGCATAGGGAGTTGAACTGTTGTCGCATATTTGATAACGTGTGTTATTCATATAATTGATAAACGTTTTTGCGAATAAATAGAATATTTAGACTTCACATTGGTCATATCTTAGGCCGTTTTAGTTCCTTTGATGAGACACTCTCATGAAAGAGTAGATGCTGCGCAGCCCTACCAACGATCTAGTAAAAATAATTAAAGTTTTCGCTAAGAAAATACGCCAAAAACGTGTTTGTTCCTCACAGATCAACCACATATATTCTTCTATAAAATTTTAACACTTTTTTAATGGAAAAACGGGGCGAACCGCCGCTCACGAACATCGACAACGCCGGAGTGCTTTTGCCTTTAAACACTTATTTTCATATGCAGTGTATTGTCATTTGAATGTCTGCAATTCACAAAAACGGACAAGGAAAAGCTCAGGCTACCCTATAATACTTATATAATACTTATATTCGTTGCATTACTTATTCGAAACGCGTTCGTCCAACACGTAACACCGCGTACGGAGACCGTTTGCAAATAAAAGACTTCAACGCGTTCGACTAAAATGGTCCGAACATTCCGTCGAATAATGCACGCGTCGTGTCTCTACATTTTAGTGTGAATAGAGTTTGCACAACGACTTCAAACAATTTCAACCGTGAGGAATCGTTTTCATGTGTTCCGCAGTCAACGTTACAACTGAAGTATATTCAGTTCGCGTATTCTAAAGGTACCTAAGCCTAAATCATAGAGTTCGCGTTCACGACACTGCATCCAAGGTTCACAACGCGTCGTTTTGAAAGTAAAACACAAACAAATTCACAAAGATACCTACTACCATTCGGTTTTAATCATGTTTTCGTATTAATCGTGACCGTTGAGCTTAGTCGACGTACACTGTGCAAGAATGTAAAACGCTGAATTTTGCACACACCAATTTGGGAAAGTGAAATGCGCATTAGCATTGCGCTGGTATTTGAACCCCAGTATTAAAGTCAGAAGTACGTTATCACTAGGCCTTTGGAAGTAAATTTTCTTACTGTAATATTCTATCTTAAACTTTCGAGTTTACATAATTTGAAACATTTGTACAACAGAGATGTGTTTAAAATGTACAACATTACTCGGTCGTGTAATTTTCTGCTTTTGTCGCAGTAAAAACTCCACGCCTATAAATCTCGCTATCAAAGACAACTGTCAAGACGATATATCAATCTCAGAATCTCTTTCCACTCTAAACACGTAGGGGATTCGGTTTGTGACTGAAGAAAAACTCGCTTTATAGTGTGGTATTTTCTAGGGAAGAATTTCATTATTATAATATTACTTAAGGGCTACTTTCCACTATTATTATTTTTCTGTTTTCGTATCAAGTGTCACTATTTGTTGATTGGGTATTTAATTAAGAAAATAACAAAAGTAATTCTATACATAGACCAAGCGTCTTCCTTTACAAATTCACAAAGTATATGTTTTTTTATGTGTAATATTTAAAAAAAAGTTAATTTAATATTTGTAGAAAAAATGTAACTGTTTTTTAGAAAATGTATGCATTTGTAGAAAAATGACGAAAAATCTTTCTTGAAAAATCGAATCTGGGCGCGAATGGCACTTTTCTACAAATTTTAATGTTTTATCTTTAGAGCAGAGATTAGCACTATATTTTTTTTTTGTTTGAAACTCGGCTTACTTTACTGTTTTAGAGTTCTCTCTAACTCTAAAACACGTGTATATTAAAGTAAAAAAACATTACTTTCAGTAACTTTGTCGACGTTACCTTCCTTAACCTAATCACAAATTGCGAAACGTATTTCAAATCAATTTTGTTTACTTCATTAAACTTAAGTTTACTAAACAAAAGTATGTTTAAATGAAGAAATAGTAATAAAAATCAGGACATTGTCAACCCTAATCAACTGCCATAAGCGTACGGATCAGCGGTCGACTACTGAGACAGTAAGCGACAGTACGCACAGCCATGAATATTAAACGGCGGTTTTTGCGTCGCCTGTTACGCGGCGCTAAAATTATTCCAGCCTGCTTAGAACATTTACTGGAGAAATACGTATTAGAAAACTAGCGCTGCGACGCATTCCCTTACAAATCTTTTAAGCCGATAGGTTTTCTTAATTAAATTACGGTCAGTCGCCGTCCCCTACTTGCAAGTGGCCTACACTTTTCTCTACATTTTCGACGACCATGGGAAAGTATACAATTATTAAAGAGACTTCGATTTATTATGTGCTTTTGAATTTGAATTTTTTTATGTGAAACGTTGCTAAGTGAGCTGGTGATTCACATGTTAAGTGATTACCGCCCATGGACATCTGCAGCACCCGAGGGTTGTAGATGCGTTGACAACCTTTTTAAAATTGGGCCATGGTTACCTCACTCACCAGATGAAAGGCGAAAGTATAATATGTAATTCCACTTCACGCCAGTCTTCTGTGCGGTGTTGTACTTACCCGGACCAGCAGTCGAAGCTACTGCGTCGCTGACGTGGCTACTGAGTAGTGCATACTAGAAGAATGAATTCTTCTTTAATTCAAGGTGCCATGTATTTGTTGGGCAACTATAAATAATTTATTTTACTTCCCAAGGCATCAATATAATAGTTGCTGCAGTAGCAATCTAAATCAAACTGCAGTCTAGTGTTAATAAAATTAAGTAAACGATCGTTCGCGTTACTTCAACTTCGGCGATTCAAAAATATCCTGAAAAATTAAACATATTTGAGAAATATTAATGAGAACAAATAATTTCAGTTTAATACCAGAAAGGTGTTGAGGAATCTCTTTAAATCGTCCGTTTTATACACTCAATTCTAATCATCGACATACATCTGATCCTATCAGCATACACGTGATACTATTGTTAAGAGTAAAGACATAAGCTAAAACTTTGAATTTTTCAAAGATTTATCGTTTAATTGGTAGCAGTTCACAGTTATCTTAATCGTCTGATCGTGACAAATCAAAACTCACGGCCAACGCTTTGACCTCAGGTCAGATTCGCACCACACGGTTCGGCCGCGCCTAAAAACTTTAAGGTCTTAGGAGTGGTTTATGACGTCAGTAATTTTATGCCTATTCCCTGGTTGTTGCCTGTTTAGAATGTTACAAGGCAGCTCGCCCTCTTTAATACTTAATTAATGTATTTGCAATATGTAAGTAATATGTAAATACGCACCATAAGAGTTTTAAATCTTTTTTGCCTGTACATTGGTACACAAGATGTACGTATTACGTGATAAAGGGCTGATGATTTAAAATGAAAGAAAATACAGCAATATCCATATAGATCTTTTGAACTCGTTCCACACAGCTTAGATTTTATTAAGTCCTAAAGTCCTGTTAGTGAACTTATTATTGTGGTAATTCTTAATTAATGAAATTTAACACATTAGTTTTGTTTTAAAAGCGTAAATATTAATAAATCAATATTAATTATCTCTCCAAATCCCAGTTTCTTCTTCTAACTGTTCCCATCTCGTATTGTGTCTTCTAGTCAAAACATATAGATGCTCATAAGGCTTATATAATTAGTATATTATAGAGTTCTTCCTTCTAATTGACGTCTGAAAGGTATGTGTTGATAACATTATTTTTTGTTGCAGCACGCCAACGCAGTTCGGGACTCTGCCCGTCTCATTTTGGAATCACCCGTGACCGAGACAGAAGATGCCCTGATCCTCGCGAAAGCTCTGCGCTCCCGGCCCCCGGTCAATATGCTCCCAGCGGCCAAAGCCGGGACTTTTTTCGCCAGGGACAACGTCTCCAACTTCATCGAGTGGTGCCGCCGAGCACTGGGCATTTTGGAATGCCTACTATTCGAAACGGACGACCTCTGTCTCCGAAAGAACGAGAAACACGTTGTTCTCTGCCTTCTAGAAGTGGCTAGGAAAGGCGCAGTCCTCGGCATGCCGGCACCTCTGCTGGTTCAGATGGAGAAGCAGATCGAAAGGGAGTTGGCCGGGGAAGAGCTACGACCGGACGACTCCGCCCTCGGACTGGTACCGCTCGGACCTCAGCGGCAACTGGTGACCAACGATCTGAGAAGTTTGGACGAGAGAGTCAGGGATCTGGTCGAGAGGTGCTCCTGCCCAACACAATTCCCGATGGTCCGGGTCTCCGAAGGAAAATACAGGATCGGCGATACCAGGATCCTCATATTTGTCAGGGTGAGTTTTTGTTTGGTTTTTAGTACCATAGTTGAAGTAAGATTAAGTAAGAACGCTAAAATTGTTTTTTTTTTACGTAGGTAAACTATTAAGAAGACCAAAGTGACGGTATCACTTTTATGAATTACTATTTTAACTTTCGAGTTACATACCGGTAGTATTTCTAAGTTGATATTACACTTTAAATTTTTGTATAAGCCTGTAGATTTTACAAGTTACCGATAATCAGCTGGTCGTAGGGCATGTTCTACGATAAAAAGATTCGATTTTTGGCCTTCGTATATCATCATCATTTCAGCCTGTTTGAGGCCATTGCTACATATATGCCTCTTGCACATTTGCACAAATCCTCACTACATGTACTTGGGGTCCTAAAAAATAATAATGGGTAAAAGCTTTTTCAATTAGGGCCTTGTTTGTCACCCTGCCTGTTCTTCGGCTTTTACTTGCGGCATATTTGGGTCGATCGATCGTGTTTATGGCGTTTGTTTGTTCCCTGCTCACCTCAGCGCATTGCCTTTGCGTGTGCCCGCCTCAGGTTGACGCAGTAGTGACACCATGAGTTACGGTCACAGCGAGATTACTTTGAATTGATTTTTTCTTTCAATAGAGGCCATATCACGGTGAAATAGGCACTAATTGTTCGTTGCAATTTTCGTTGGTAATTTACCACGTTCTCGGTGAAGGAAAACATGGCTAGAAAAACCGTTATATCTAGGAAATCTTCACAAAGTTATCAAGAAGTATAGAGACAGAAAGAAGAAATAAATGGGAGTCATCAAATGACTCCCATTTATTTCTTCTTTCTGCGAATACTATTATAAATACCTTTGTATTCGAGATACAAAATTATACTAATAAATCATGATTAATGATTTAATTATACACATTTCAAATAGCTAGTCGTTTTAAAACAACTTATAACTTTAAAAAAACTTAATATTAAATATATAACCACATGGGTAATCAATTTAATAACAGAAAGCACAATCTATAATATTTCCCAAGAGTTGTCCGTGATTTGATCGCCGCATGGGGTAACTATTGACGCGTGTATAATTTAAATAATTTACCGCACTTAGTGCGCGTTGTATAATGATTATGTATTGGTTAATAATAAACAGAAGGTGAGTAAATCGACGACGTTGAACGGTGTAATTGCCCGTTTACTTTTGCATAATTGCCATCTTATTAGTCTTAGTTATCGAGTCAATACATTTTATTTAATACTTTTAATACACTTTACATGTTACGTTTTATACGCGTAATACTATTTAAATGTAGTGTGTATATATGCATCAATCTGACTAATTTATCTATAACTATCCATAAAAATAATAAATAAATATTTCGGAATATATTTTTATACAACGTTATCTAGTCCCAAAATAAGAGAAGCTTGTACTATGGATACTAGGTAACTGATATGCATACTGAAACGTACTTTTTTTGTAAATAAATGCAAATTATACATATATAAACACAAAGATGCTATAAAATCATTCATCACACAATATATTTCCAGTAGTGGAGATCGAGTCCACAACCTCGGGCCCAAGACACAGGTCCACTACGACATTTGGGTCGTCTATAGCCTTCGTCAATAGGTCTTTGAATTGTTTGCATTTTGTATGTTAAAGATAAACGCGTAAAGCAACGGGCTGAAGCTAGCCTTAGCTTATATTGTACGTCTCAATTGTACTTAGGAACAATTGAAGCAATTACACGTTTGGTATGCAAACAAGGTGTGTCTGCCTCCATGCAGTTTGCGATTTGTGTACCTTGGCGTCGTGGGAACCCGCTAGGATAGACCTTGAGTGGTCCATTCAATACAAACAGTCATATGACCTTATGCTTTTAGGACCTCGCCTTGTGACCCTTAATATGGAGCGTTCGATACACTAGATCGAAGCGACCAGCCTAACTTGACATTTCAGTTAGTTCCGTGTGTATTACAGTGTAGGCTACTTTAATTGGTTTGTGTCGTTACTGACTGGTTTAATATGACCTGCCTCTGTCAGTACCGTTTTGGATTCGACGTGTCTTATGTGTATGGACGTGGATAATGTCGGTCTCTAACTTTTGCTCTGCAATATCGCACCGCCTTTGATTTGACCAAAAATGGAGTTGTATGATAGGTATGATTCATCGATCCGTGTGACTTTAATGGACAGCTTCGTTTGTGCGGTTATAAATAAATCGATGTCCAATAACTAAAATGGACATCTTTGAGGCATTTGTATTTGTTTCGTCGAAAAACAAACTATTTAGTGATGTTTGTTAGAATTTGAAGTTAGCTTAACTCGTCCTCTTTTTGGTGTCGAACTATATACTAAAGTTTATTTAGTTAATAGCGAAAGGTTACTCACTAGCTCATAGCAATATTTGTGGCAAGTAATTCCGTTTAAGGATAGGAAACGATACCGGCTAAGCTGGTCTCAATACGATTGCATTTCCTACTTTTGTGACTTCTGTTGTTGTGATAGCAAGCTTTTTTTCATGTTTACTTATGATCGAAAATAATTCTGCGTAGTCCTCCGTATTTACCGTATACAGGAGAGTTTAGTACTAGATACGCTATCTACTGTAGGTTACATAATAGGCTATGTCTACGAAACTTGAGCTCGGACTCTACTCATGCATACTAGTTTCTACTATCCAATTTCTTCGAGCTTTCCGTTCACTCAATTCCTATAGCTAATGCTATTCTAAGTTCTCGGTTATACATATAGACATTTTCAGATTCTAACTATACAGGTAAAGTTGCAAACCTTAAAATATGTGTAGGCTCACTGCAAATAGAACTCCACTGAACGGTCGACTTCCCTCCAGATCCTCCGCTCGCACGTGATGGTGCGCGTCGGCGGCGGCTGGGACACCCTCGCCCACTACCTGGACAAGCACGACCCGTGCCGCTGCCGCGCCCAGCACCGCACCTCGCTCTCCGCCCGCCTCGCCCGCCCCAAGCACGACCTCGCCGGCGCGACGGTCACATACGAGCGGCCCGACGGCCCCGCCTCCCTCCCCTACGTGAAGAACGACAGGCCCGACGCCCCGTCCCCCCCCAAGGTGTTCGCCGACGAGCCGCGCGCGCACTACCAGTCGAGCGGCAAACTCGACGCGCCGTCGAGTCTACCGTACATGGAGACGGACAGGGCGCCCTCTCCCGGCAGGCGGTACCTCGCCCCGCGCGCGAACAGCCCCGGCAGGTGCTCCGCCTCGCCGGACAGGAGGACCAAGCTGGTGAGCACCAACCACCTGGTGCCGTCGCCGCACGCGATCAGGAACAAGAGCCCGCGGCCGGTGTCGCCCGCGCCCGCCGCGGAGAGCGCCTCGGACAACGGCTCCGAGGTCTCCGACGAGGGATACAGGAGCCTCGGCGTGGTGGCCAACTCCACGCAGGGCTCGCCCTCCGCCAAGACCACGAACAGATATTCGATGCACAGCCAGAATTCGATGGACGACGCGGAGTACAACGGTGAGTGTGATTTTTTTGAACGATGATTACAATCGAGCTATTGGCGTACCTTTTTTTTCGCGGGAAAATCCTTAATGGATCCCATGTCGCGGGATCGACGGAATGGTAGAGGTATGTGGGAGTCCCCGTGAGAAACGGGTACTGTTTCTGACTAAAAACACATATTGCACCTGTCTCTGTCCCATCGGGAATATGGAGACTTTCTCATTTCTCATACTTAACTTTTAAATTTAGTTATTCCATACGAGAGCTTATTTGCCATATAAATCATATTAATCCAGATTTCTATATAAATTGGTCAGGTACCAATGTGAATCTGATTGCTAGAGCTAAATTATTAAGCACATTATAGCGAGCCTAGATAATTATTACGTACGTAAATATACAAAAAGAAGAAATCATTAAGAGAAAAGCATTGCTTGAATGTAAAAGAGCATTTAAGCGTTACACAGTCATGGGTAGAGACAAAGTATAGGATGAAACGCCCAGTGCAATCTTCCGGTTGTTTGTTTGTGAGCTATAGGACTTAAGTTATAAGCGATTTTCATTTATGTACTTTGCGTGCTCTGTATCCTATTCTATTTCATCTACACACCATTTATTTTTATTATTATTCTCTTTTCGTTCTTTAAAACAATTTTTATTTGAAAAGAAAACTGCCCTTACCTGTAGGATACTATTATTCTTAGTTGTAAGAACTTTATACAAACAGACAATTAAAAAGGACAGTTGTAAATTTTGGAACACTAAGTAGGTATATCTCTGTTTACAATTCCACCATATTTGCACAAATAATCTTTTACTATCTTGTTCTATTTAAGCTTGAATTATCACGAGCTCTCTTTTACTAAAACTGCTTTATGTAAAAAAATAATTTATTTTAAAGTAACTATATGTTGGAAACGATAAAAATAACCCAACAGAAAAGCAAAAAGTTGATATTCGAATTTACTTGGTCATTGGTCGTAAAATCGCTTCCGCTTGTAAATCGGAGCGAACGCCGCGGTCAACGATTCTGCAACAATAGTGCGCCGAGCTCGTGTTTTATCCACCGTTCCGTTAAATTGACTCGTCACGGCTGAACGATGAGAATGCACTCTATCATAGAGGTACGATATAGTGCATCGCATCCACGTTGGTATAGACCCATTTGCCAAGGTATTGGCTTCAATGGGCCCGCGGGTTTGATTCCCGCACGAGACAACTATTTTTGTGACTCACAGATAGTTATTTTCTTGTGTTTACGCGATTTCACATTACTAAATGAAACTATGTTTACATATTTATCGCGCTTATTTTTGTTCATTCCCGACGTTTCGAACCCTTTACAGCGTTCATGGTCACTGGACAGACCGAGGCGTTGGACGTCTGATTATCACTGTTAATCCGGGGTACCGCCAGTTGTTAAATTATCATTTTTTTATGTTGATCTACGCGGAACATACTAATTTTATCTTGTCTTGCAATACAATGAAAAAGTACCAAATCTGAGTCGCAAGATATAAAAATGACTACAAATCGGCGAATTTAGATCTTTCTAAGAAAGCACATTTTTCGACATAAAATAGTCTTATTTATGGTACAAGTTGTAACTCGTAACCTTTTAGTATTCCATAGTCTACATATTTCAAACCATAATTCCTCAATATTTACTCGATACAGCTTTGAAAAATGTGCCGTGAAATCAGCTGACTGGATCTTCTGTTTACTACTCTCTACGCATTGTCTGTGGGGTGGTCAGCTGTTTATGTAATACAATGTAGAATGATTGACGTCCCATCTGTCGCTCTGTGTTGCTCGAGGAAGATAGAAAAAAATCTTTAGACCCTTGTTTTCTCGTTACCTAACTTTCTTTTCTACCTTGCCATTATGTAGATTGTTATTTTTGCAATGTCCGAAGTACATATTTCTTTTTAAATAAAGCCTTTATTGAAATCATGTTCAATGTGAATCAATTTCTCCATGTACATGTCACCTTTCTCGAATCCGCTTGAACACACTCAAAAAATGTCATTAAAATCGGTCCAGCCGTTTAGGAAGAGTTCAGTGATGTCACTGAACTCTACTCTACTCTGATGTATGTACACACGCACAGAAGTTGTATATATATAAAGATATGTAAGAGGCTGCCTTTATATGACCAATGTCGTACCAAGGTCACCCATAATTTTCTTTTCGAGGTCCCACAAAGACCCTTGGATTCGCTACGGCTCGGGAACGCCGCAATTACGCGCGATAAGTGGTAGCAGGCGTGCGAGGGCATGTCCACGCTTGTAATTAAGTTACGAATCGACTATTTAATGTTCACGACTTTTCCTCCGTGGAACATCTGATGGTTTAAGTAAAGGCAACGTTAAAGGTAAAGCAACGTGCTTTAGACTTGTGGCGTTTTGTATAAGCTGCATCAATGTAACAACACTATGCCACTTTACAAGGAACTCAATTTCCGCGAGTAAAACGTGATTAAGATTACTGAGAACTTAGAATATTTTCCATCTCTAATATAACACAAAATACGTTTATTCTAATAGAACAATAAACTCCATAAAGTATATTTATCTTAAAGGAACGGCCATTACTTATGGTTAGTCGTGATAGGATTTTGGGCATAGTCAATATTAAAAATGGGCGTAGACAAACACGGATTATTGCCTTACCAATTTGGTTGGGCGCGTAAATGGATTGTGTCAACGAAACCGCACCATCAGATTGTATATTTGCATATTGCGAATGTGCCATTGATGCCAATACGGCGGCAGGTTGTCGACTTCGAGTATGGACAGCCATTGTCATGATTGGGAACTGACGTCTTACGCGGTAACGCTATGCGTTTGGATCGATTCTTAACGGTCATAATGGAACATCTATACTAATATAATAAAGCTGTTTGTTTGTTTGTACGTGCTAATCTCTGGATGTACCAATCAGATTTGATACAAGCTTTTTGCAATTGATAGCCCAATTCTTAATGAAGGTTATACGGTATTTAACATCACGCCATGAGCTACGGGGCTGAAGCAGAAACGTTTGTTCTCGCATGAAATCGCATTGAACTGCTAGTTATAGATACGCAGACTGTGCTCCATAAACTCTCATAGCAACAATTCTACTTCGGCGTAGCGAACGATTTCTATGGTTGAAAGTAAGGACAAATGATGCAATAAGAATATATATAATGTAAATATATGGAATGTCTACGATGTGTCACGGAAAAAAAATCCTTTAATCAATGAATAAGACAACGGATTAAAATATCGTCAAAGCTGTCGGTGGAAAGTCTCGAGCATACAAAAGCCACACAATAAACGAGTCTACCAAAGTCTGGAGAAGGTCATTGGATACAGAAGGTTAAGGGTCGTGCTTCTGTGACTTTGTAGATGGCATATGAGAAGTACTGGCTCGATTGATGTGGTGATGATGAAAATATCCCATGCATGCAAGCAGTTCCATCAGACATTTTCGTTCCAATGCAATGAGTTCGAAAGCAAAAGACATTTACGGTGGTAGGGCCACGCAGCAGCCTCGGCTGTCGCACGAATGGGCAGGCCCGTCCGGGTAAGTACCACGACCTCACAGAAGACCAGCGTAAAGTGGAAGTATGACAAATACTTTCGCGTTTCGTCTGGTGAGTGAGGTAGTTCAAAAGGTTGTCAACGCATCTGTAACCCTCGGGTGTGGCAGATGTCCATGGGCGGCGGTATTCACTTAACATCAGGTGAACCGTCTGCTGGTTTGACAACTTTTCGCATAAAAAAAAAGAAACAAGAACATAAGTCATATCGAAGACATCATTTATACTATACTATACTAGAGGTAGGTAGTTTAGTGAATGGGAATGCTGCAATGACGCTACCATCGCAGGTGTAACTTATCAGCTGTACTTAACTTGAAATGCTATGCTATGCCAGCTATGCGCTGCTCCGTTCTAAGAACGAACGAGTATTTTTCGATCGCACCTCGAGGCATTATCGAACCGACTATATTTGGACGTGCATATTGTTCGGCCCTGCCTCTGACTCACATGGTATGCGACTGTTTTGAAATACTCTCACGTGACTGCAGCGTTTGAGGCTATGCGATTCTCGGCCCAATTGCGAGGGTGCGAGAGACGAGGGTCGTAGCCGACGCCTCGAGCCATTCGTGCGGAGGGCGGTGCATGCGCAAATGCTTTCGCCGGCAACTCCTATTCTTTTGTATACGAATTTATTCCGAAAGTAATTTCATATATAGAACAGCAAAGGACAAATAGGCAACGCACAATTGAAAAATTCTAGAAGCTTAAAGTTTTCCCAATGTGTTCCTTATATATCTTTCTCTAGGACTACTGAAATATTTCGTGGTGTCTGTTTCATACCAGCATTTATAAAGGGCCGGTGATTTATACAGTTTAAACCGAAATTAGTCTTAGGTCAAATTAGTAAGGTCTGGTTAACTTATGTTTCGTTTTAAAGAATTGTGTAGAAAGTTGAAAATGTTCTAACTCTCTTAAGCAAAAGATCTGCTTTTGAAAAATAAATTAATATCATTATTAGAACTGTGATGGTAAAATCTGTAATTTTATGTTGCATTGCATTTCTGATCGAATCAAGATCTAAACCTGCAGCATCATCATGAAAACTGCTGACAAGAAGGAAGAAACTATCTTTGACGGATGTCATATTACGAACTTAAAAACAAATGAGTATTTTCTTCTCCGATAATCCTAAGCGACCTTAATACCTGACAATAAGGTATATTATATAGATAGAGCTGCGTACTGTACCGAGGCATTCGCTCCGTGCCAGGCCAGCAATCACTTGCCTTTTGCGTCGAAGAATGCCGTCTGGACCCAGCCTTATGCGGCATCGAAACAGACCACAGCCTATCGTTTGAGTGATACAAGTATCGTTAGAGGCCTAAAAATAGATCTATGGCATGCCGTTTTTTTTCCCAACCTGCTATATTTAGCATGGGCGCCTGCGATACTTTTAAGAAAAGAGCCAAAGTGGACCTAATTAGAAGTTTCTACTTTATTTATACGTCTACGACAACTATCTACGCTACATATATCGACAATGGATGGTATTTGCCTCTTGACGTGTGTACTAACTGGCCAACCCGTATTGTACTGATGACTCCGTGGCGCAGTTGCAGTTACTTCGGTGTCGGGGGTCGTGTGTTCGATTCACACACGGGACAACTGTTCGTGTGACCCACAAATCAATTATCTAGTTGTTTCGCATCTGGTTGTCCTGGTTGTCCACGTACTTTTTATGTTTATAAAACGTCCTTACAACACGGTATAATCTTATCCTGAAGTAAGGGCAGTGTTTTAAAGTAGTTAAAAAAATTGTTCTCATGAACAGTCCCTGTATTTGTTTAGATTCTTTCATTATTTACATTCGATCACCACGAAAGATAAGTTCATCGCGACGTTACGCTTAAAACTAAATTTATCCTATTACTTAGACTGTGTTTGAGTCACTCAGAACGCGTGAAAAAGCAAAAAGCATGGAGCGGCTTTACTGAAGAAACACCGTAAGTTTACCGAAGGTCTTAAGTTTGACAGCGTAACCGTAAATCTTTTTTTTTGTAAACGTCCACAACAATAGTATACGGACGCATCCTCTTTGATAAAGGAGTTTGTATTGACTTGGTCGAAAGGTCGCAAATGTTACAAACTAAACGTTTCCTGTCGGAGCATATAGAACGACATTGTTACTTAACACGGTGACTTCTATTAGAGAGTTTCTTTGACGGCTAGCATGTATGAAAAGGTTACGGTAAAAACTTTGCGAGTTATGGATTCATTCTTGAAGACCTGCGATCATGTATACCTACTTGCATTTATATTAACACGATAAAATCCGTAAAAATAGTTTCGGTTTGTAGAATAAGCAATCTGTATATGTTCGAACAAATGAAAAAATGTAAAGAATATTTCAACGACTTTAATGAAGTATATTTTGTGGTGTTCGTATATAAGAGAACCACCAGAATTTATACCAGAATTTTTGAACTTTTCTTAAAACCTTGATCAAAGCTGTATCCCGTTATAAAAACATAAACACCTGCCCATTAAGATGACACTATGGAGTCTTTTACTGTTCTCGGGATTATAAACCCGAACAGCATGATGTTAGACCATAAGAATTTTTAATTTTCAATTTAATCGCAAATGTCTGTCTATAAAAGTCGTTTCGTTTTTATCGTTTTCTTTTTAAGTTTTTATTTGTCTTTTTCATTGATCATTATTTACATTTGAGGCTAGTTCCGATTCTGACGGGGCTTCTACGGCGTTGCACAAGTCTCTAAATCGGCTATATACTGGACACCTGTCACGCTAATGTTAATAAAATATCGCATAATAAAAGTCGCTTTGGACACTTTTATCGTCTCAAACTTGTCAATGTTGGATTCAGCATTATACTTCTTTTGGCACGTAAGGAAAAAATTATGATAGTAAAAATTTTACAAAGCGCGCGCACAGCCAAACAGCGACATAATGAAGTTGGTTGCAAAGCGACCGAATGGTTGTACTCAGCGTACTAAGCAACGACTCAATGGTTCTACTCAGCGTACTGAGGAACCACTCAATGTTTTTACTCAGCGTACTGAGTAAAGACTCAACGATTCTCTCCCATTTCAGAGCGTCTCGAGCACGACGACGGCTGCCACATGGAGAAGGGCGAGCGCGTGGACGACTACGTGAGCCTCACCACCGGTCTACGCAAGACTGACTTCTCCGACACGTTCTACGGGGGCCAGAGCAGGAAGACGAGCTCCGTCGACGAGCGCTCGAACCGCGCCAGCCCCGAGTGCATCGTCACCGAGAGCAACGACTCGCCGAGCAGATCCCTCAAGCCGACAACCCAGGTAACGGAATCGCCCGCCAAGGTGGCGAGGAACCGGCAGGCGAGCCGCATACCCCACTCTCCTGTCAGGAACCGCACGCCGAGCCGCGGAAACACGCCCAGCCCGAAGCACGCCGCTCCGGTGCAGACCTCCCCAAAATTAAAGCCCAAACTGCCGCCGGCAAGGAACACGTGGAGCGGCCGCACCGCCCCCACTCAGCCGAAAGCGAAGTCCAGGCCTGCCATCGGCGCGGACACCTTCGAGAGCCCGAACAAGTCCCCGAAGGCGAAGCCCAAGGGTCAGACGGAGCCGTTCAAAAGGAACTCGCCGCTGCGCGCGAGCAGTGCGACCCTCCGCTCGCCGCCCCACCAGAAACAGCTGAGCCCGCTGCTAGAACAGATACTTAGGTCCGCCGAAACGGCGAAGGACGACGCCACCGTGCTGGAGAAGATGAAGGAGATAATACGGACGTACTCCAAAGGCGAGGACTCTTTGTCCAGGGCGAGCTCTAAAGATTCAGACTACGCAGACTTCACGTCCGCCTGGGTGATGTCGGATGGGAAACTGGAGCGGTCCACCAGCACCCGACAGCTGGCGGCGCCGCGAAAAGACCCCAGGACTGGCGCTTCGAGGATCCCCGCGCCGGTCTCCATCGGCTGCAGACGGTCTTCGTCCACAACGCAGTTCCAATGACGCCGCTCGCGGGCGAGTGACTCTAAGACTGAGCAAGTGTGAATGATGCGTGACGTGAATAGCACATTGGACCAATGTTGGCGCGAACATTCGTGATGGTAACGCAGTTGGCGTCAACTGTACTCCGCTGGCACCCGAACGGTGTGTGACGGCCGATTTTATATATTTATTATTAATAATGATAACAGAAACCATATCTTTGTGATCGCAAATATCTTAGCAGTGCTAACCTAGATATTGTATTAAACGGAAAAAAAGAAAAATGTCGAATTTCCAAGTAGCGTAGACCCATGCGTAGAGTAGTCAATTTGTATTAACATCATTTGGTAAATCCACAATACTGTATCGATTTTGTATTGACTTCGATGTATTGGTTTGAGATGACCGTTCAACTTCTTTATACCTCTACATAAAGCTATATGGTGCTAAAAGAATGTTAAGTTGCTTAGTTGTATCTTATTATGATTTTATTATCTTCAGTTATATTTAGGGCATTTGCCTGAACAGATAGATCCGTAATTGAGTCGAATACAAAAAAAAAACATGAAATACAAAAAAACATTCGTTGATGTTATTTAATTCGATGTAATGATAAATAAGCATTAACGAGGATCGTTGTCATTTTTTTGTATTTAATTTATAAGTAGTATTTAAGAAATTATTTTATGCATTAAATATTTACAGTTTAATTTAATCTTTATTTAAGTTTTCGTAGCTAATAGTCGTTAAGCCCTGTTTGCTAAATCCCCGGTAATATTAAAATTAATCCCTAACAAAATCCGTCATTAAAAGCATTTCGTTGCATTTAACCGATGAAAACCATTCCGCAGAAAAGCCGGGAGTTTGGGCAATTTTTCTACGTTTTTTTATATTCAGCAATCTCATTGTTATTTGATAGGTTGTGAGTGGTTGGAGCTTATAAATGTAAGATTTTGGCCAGGTTTAGATCCGATATGAGGAAATTCATTTTCTCTCATTAGTTTTATGGATGTAATTCTAAAAGTTAAAAAGTATCCGTATTGTAAGTCAATATTCCAATATTATCGAACTTAAAAATGCATGATAGGTTAAAACATTAATGGATAATACGCAATTAATTATCAAATTACCATGTAAGTGAATTACAAACAGAATATTGTAATATTTTTCCACTTTGAATACCGTGAATTTACCGTCCATTTTAAAGGTGATTAGTAATGTATCGCTTCATTCGTTCTTATGTAAAATTTAACTAAAATGTTAAATTAGCGAACGTAGCGGTACCATCCCTTTACTGATATGGCATCGGAAATATGTAATCGCGAGCAAAGCAGGATACCACAGTAAGCTATCACGATATCTTTAGCCGTATTTATTTATGCATATTATTTCACTATTTCCTTGCTACTTCTTACAAAAACATAACCGCTTTTTGTATAACGCTCAGCGAATGCTCGGTTTGTTTGTAGAGAGCTGAGCCTAATACAAAAATGCTTACAAACTCAGCCAAACTCAAGTATTGCATCTTATAAACTCTACCCGCACCTTAAACTATCGTCTATTTATTTACGTGGCTACATTAATTTTTATCTTTACTAATCTGACGGAAAAAATGTAACACGTTTAATAAATAGACGACGGTTTGTCACGTTGATATTTCGAGTATTATCATAGAATTGGAACGGATTAAAATTCTTAAGATAACGCTCGAAGACTCAACGATTTATCTATTTTATGCTATTTTATTTGTAATCGTCTGGTGTTACACTATTGAATGATTTAAAAAAAAATTCTTCTCTGACAATCCTATTGACGTAGTGGACAATTAACCCGTCTCTTGCCACAAAGTGTGTGGATTCGATCCCCATTACTGGAAAAATGTTACGTGATGAACATAGTGTTTTTCTAGTGTCTGGGTGCTTGTATTATATCTATACATTGTATTTATTTACAAAATAAATATGTTAATTTATATTTTAATGGAATATTCCATGTTCGAACGTACCATTTTCTATTTAAAGTGTAACACCGGCGAAGCGACGTTAGAGGCTAAGTGAAGTTAGTTATGTAACAGTTTCTTCTTCGAAATAACGTTACCAGTGACTATGCCATAGAAATTGTTATAATTCACTCAATAAACCATTAAGACAGAAAGAGCGTTGTTTTATGCTTTGAACACCTTACTAACTCTCAAGTATATTCGACCATACGCGAGATAATCCTCAATGTGCTCACAATTTGGGCTTATATATTCACGACGTTAGTGAATGTAACTACTACTGAGTACTGAAATACGTATGTTTCCTTGTGGTAGGGCTTAGCAGCAGCTTCTGCTGTTGCAGGAATGGGCAGGATAATTCGGGGAACTACCACGTCCTCACAAAAGACCGGCGTGAAGGCGTTGGAAGCATACTTTCGCTTTTCCTCTGGTGAGTGAAGTAGCCGGAGCTTTATAACGGCTGGCAGGTGATATGTCCACGGGCTGCGGCAATCTCTTCACATCAGGTGAACCACCTGCTCGCCTCTCAACTTTGCTCGTAAAAAACGTTTATAATTAAGGGCTAAGTCACTTCTTTCCATCAGGTGGTAACTTAAGCATTTGTTTAATCAACGAGAGAAAATTACTTGCAATCAGATATTGCCGTTTTATTCTTAGTAATATTTGCAATGATGTTTTGATAAATTGAACAAAAATAATACTTTGAAATGTTTGGAATCAACTTTCGAAATGTTTTAAGCTTTCTACTAAGTACATTGCAAACTACTTATATAAATTTTTAAACTTATTTAAACTTTTAAACTTATGTATGTTTAAATTTTTAAACTTATGTAGTTAGGGGGAATTACTGTTCTTAATCTTAAAAAAGATCAATCGCTACTTTTTATTCCTGACTTTGTTCCTATTCATCATAAGAAAGAAGTAAATTGCGTGAAATGAATTTGAGATATCGTTGTACGAGTATGAATGTGACGAAATATTTAAAATAGGCATAGATTATAAAAAGCAGGAAGAAACGTCTGTCAGATTTGTAGTGAAACTGCCGTTTTGACGATTGATAATAATTATTATAATAATTTTTGTATAAGACGTATTTTATACTGCTTTCTTGGTCGTACCTTTAAAAATATGTTGAGGAGTAAATATTGAATTATTAACAATTTCATCACAAATCTATCTTGTGTAAGTTTACTGTTTTTCTTTGTTACTTTGCCCTAAGAATACTTATAGTGTTGGTTAAGAAGTTGGTACTTAAAAATGCGTTATTTGTTTTTTGATTTTTAGGTTCTTGCACTGTGAAGAGATTTTTTCAATCATTACCGAACCTCATCTTGATTACCGCCGCCCGTTAATAGCACCTGAAGTGTTGCAGATGCGTTGCAAACTATCAAAGAGTGTGCTCCGGTTACTTCACCCACCAGACAAAACTCTATTTTATCATTCAATTCAAATTAGTAATTTTGTGGTAGAGGAGTGCGTGGTCATCTGATTTCATTTGCGTCGCCAACCTCTGAGAGGCCACCTTACCCACCATACGTAAAGCAAAAACATAAATACATCATTTACTGACTTTATACTAAAATAATTTTGTATAATTATACATAAAAAAAAGATAATAAGACCGCAGAGTTTCTTGCCGGTTCTTCTCTGGACAGGTTTAGTTTAGTCAACCGGTGTTAGTCTTTTGAAATTCATTAAGAGCTTAAGACAAGCCTATAGTTGATAAAGAAATTTTGACTTTGACTACGTCGGCCTTCTTTGAGACCGCGTTTTTAATCCACAAGATGGTCAGTGCTCTAATATCTCACCCAATAGTAAGTAGTAATGGTCTCTCTTGCCTTGAAGACACACCTTACAATTTAACGCTGGTAAACTGTTCCACTCCTTTGCTGTACGCATTACGGAAGAGGGGGCGAATCTCTTCGTTCAAAGGCGGGGAAGTTCAACAAAAAATGGCGGAAATCTGCCGAGCGGAATCTTGTCGGATTTACGGGGAGGGGGAATTAAATTATTCAATTCCTGTGCACACCGTACTTCTTCGGAAGCTACATGGCTCTTCAGAGTAAATCCCTATAAATCAAAAGTACAAAGTAATTGCTTATTCGTATATGCAAATACAATACTATCACTCAATACTTGTGGACATCTGAACTAGGGCTATTGTTCTTATAATAGACAATAAATATTTTAAAAAAAATATTTTCAGGAAATATTTTATGCAACGCCATCTAGTGCTAAACTAAGCAAAGCTTGGACAATGGATACTAAGTATTAAAACATACTTAAACGTACTCTTCTTTTGTAAATAAATACATATTAAAGGTATATATGTAAAAGCCCAAACACTAGAAAAAAAACTATACTCATCACACAATAGTTTTTCCAGTAGCGGGGATCGAATGGCAAGGTTAAAATATCGCCCATTTGGGCCACTGAGTTACTCCTAATTCAACTCTTAATTGGAGTGTAACAACGAATATATCTTTAATTCTTTATTTATTCGTAGTGTGATAGATTCAGAAGTATAAAAATAAATAAGGTAATGTGCACTTTTACGGAACAAAAAGTGCCCTAAGTTTAATTTAGCTAACGGTGGTAGGGCCACGCAGCAGCCTCGCCTGTTGCACGAATGGGCAGGCTCGTCCGGGTAAGTACCACGACCTCACAGAAGACCGGCGTAAAGTGGAAGTAGTTATAATAATCTCGCATTTAGTCTGGCGAGTGAGGTGGCCGGAGGCCAATTTTCAAAAGGTTGTCAACGCATCTGGAACCCTCGGGTGTAGCAGATGTCCATACCGCCAGGTATTCACTTAACATCAGGTGAAGCGTCTGCTCGCTTGGCAACATTAATTCACATAAAAAAAGCTAAATTTATTCACATTGTAAAGCAACAATTACGATACGCTAAAAATGATCTCTTTAATTTGTAAATATAAATATTGTAGGCTGATACTGTTGTGTTTATGTTATTAAAAAAGTTTTTACATTAGCCCCATATAAAGTTTAAAATGCTTACAAAGGAAGTTTAATATTTTTCTAAATGATTTCAGATAAATTTCGAATGGAGCTAGTTGTGGTCCTTATAGGGCTGGTAGTATATGTCCTTCTTGTTGTTATGTGTTAGTACATTAAAATTGTCTTTGAAACTAGTTACGAAATTGTTGATATCTGTTATTAATACATCATTTCATTGCAGCATTGAAAAAATCTTATTATTTGGTAAAATCCCTCAGACTCTATATCAATTTGATTCAATAGACAGACTTAAAAATTTGTCAACCAGAAACGTAAATATTGTTACGCATTTCTATATCCCATAACACACAACGTGAAAGACGTGTCATAATTCCTTGTGACACGTCTTGCTTACTGAGCTTTTTTAATTCAATTTGAAATCAGCCAATTTTGAGTATAAATTTTAAAAGAAATAGTTTTTTTTTCAATTTATAGCGTGATCTATGTGTATATCCTTTCAGTGGTAGTCATTAATGAAGTTTTCTGCAAAGAAACATGTTTGAAAAGCGCTCGCCGTTTTGCGGACGTCGAGTTGAACGAGAGATTGGCCAAAATACCGCAGAGATTTTTGAAATATACTTGCAAGAAACCCATCACCAGACCACCAAAGTATAACCCTAACATCAGACAAGAAGCGCTTTTTGTCGAAGACTGAGTTTCGGAAATTGATAACTAGATGGCGCTGGTTGAGCATTTGAGATTTAAAGTACAATTTATGTAGGATTTTTTGTTCGTTAGAAAAAGTGCAGATGAAAGCGATTAAATCGGTAGGTATTTAAAAACAACGGTTATTTTCTTTGTGTTTTATTTTTCCTTAATTATGTACATCATGGACTATTAAAGCATTTTATAAATACAGTACAAAGACACTGGTCTATTATTTCTCATTGTAAACGTTACTTACAAGCTAAACTTATCCTAAGCATCATTAAACATACTTAATTAAGTTCAATCACTTTATGTTCAACTATAATAAAACTTAGAAACAAATTTTGGATCACAGCCGCCTATAATTATTAATCCTCCGGGAAGATTTTGTTCATCGGCACTTTGTCGAATATTTTGTTTGTGACATCTTGGAATACCGAACTGAGGCTCTTCTCGTACGATTCCTTTAGTTCGTTGAATACGAGGTCCGAATTCTCGTTGAGGAACCTGAAAAATATATTAATATTGATTAAGCGTCATCTAGTACAAGTAATCGAAACTAAATCTTCAAACCATAACGTTTTAATCTCTTAGTTCAATATGGAAGAAAACAGATGGCGCTTAGATCAAAAAATTATTTATTTTACCTGTTCATTTGGTCACCCAACGCTTTATCACCGTTGAATAAATTGGAGAAATGCAGAATAACTCTTTGCGGAATAAATTTGACTTTGTAATCTCTTATATGCATGTATGTTTTTCCCTCATTGATAACAGGTTCTCCTATAATGTCGTGTTTAACAACCAAATTCACTGAAATGAGAGCATAAGAAGCCATTAAATATTACAGGTTTCAATTTAAAATATTATAATTATTTTAAATAATACAATAAAGTTTTAATTATTTTTTTAAAAAATTAAAGGACGTCTTAACCAAATAAAAAAATATTGGACAGTTGTCCTATAGTTTGTATTGTGGCAATTTCGTTTGTATGTGGGATTGCCAACGTGTCTAATGGCTAACGTTTGAGAAAAATGTAGTACAATTCTAGAATATAAAATTTAAGAATATAAGATACACAAATATTTATTTGGTTCATACGAAAATATATTCTTACAAAGACAAATGGATGATTATTATCGGAAATTCGTAACCGGCTTCCAAGACACAGGCACTGTATAGTTTGGAAGCCACATTGTAGTTCATATTATCTTATTGTAACCGAGGTTAAATAAATAGTGTAGCAATAGTGTAACAGATTGATAAACTTACCCATAGTAATGTTGGCAACACCCTTCCCTTGAATGGGAAGCACCAGGATCCTTCCCTTCATCACGTAATCGGCGATGAACTCCATCTTAGGTGTTAAGGATTCCGTCCGAAGTCTGTAATGCTTGAGGTCGGCTCTGGCAAGCGATTTGTCAACATATCAGTGTCATTTATTTTGGTGTACATCGAACTATCATTTTTACCTTTTTAACCGACTCCAAAAGGTTCTCTTCGAAAGGAGGGGCGGGGGGGGGGGGGGGGGGGGGGGGGGGGGGGGGGGTTTTACTCAATTCGACTGTATTTTTTTTATGTTTGTTACTTCAGAACTTTTAACTTGATTGGATCTTTGGCTCGGGAGATACTCAGAGAACTTCTAAAAATCAATTGGACAATAAATACAGAGAGAGATATTTGAAGTCGGCTTTGTTTTTCGGTAGATTTGTTCGTTAGTAAAAAATTGGTTATATCCATTCAGAATCTATCGTTTATCACTATTCCAATTATAACATGTGACAATCAGGATATTTGCAACAACTGTTAAAGATAGAAGAAATTGTTCGTGTTAACCTACCACAAAAATTTGAATACTAATTAGAAAAAAAAACTCTTTCTCAACTTCTACCTGCAGCTTACGTCACCCAGTAACGTCAGCTTTTTAGTATCAACAATATTAGGTATGTACGAGTAAAGGGACTATGTACATTAGGAGGCTAGCGAAAAACAAAACCGACTACAAATATCTCGCTCTGTATTTATTTTATAATTGATTTTTAGGAGTTCCGGAGCATCTCCGGAGCCCAAGATCCAATACCAATGAAATTAATATGGGACCACATGGGAAACACCACCTTTCAAATAAAAGGAGTTTTTTTTGTCTGTCAGTCATTTATGAACCGATTAAAAAAAATATTTTTGCGTTGTGTCCTGGTTAGGTCCAACGTGGTCTCACGTTAAATTGTAATTTGACCAGGAAACTCCTCAAAATCAAATGTAAAGTGAGAGAAATATTTTAAATCGGTTTTTATTTCTGTCGATGAAAATGCACTAGCAAAGCTTTTATTTCTGCAAAGTAAAGTAACAGCCTATAAATCTCCCACTGCTGGACAAAGGCCTCCGCTGTAAAGAGTCTATTAGGCCTTAGTAGGTACACCGCGCGACCCCATGTGGATTGGCGGACTTCACATATGAGAACACGTGCACGGTTCCTCACTATATTTTCCATCACCGTTAAGCACGTTACGATAAGTCAGCACTTAACAGTTTCGACCGGGGATCGAATTCAGGTTGCTCGAGTAAATTGAATTAAAGACGAGACGGACACTGAGCTATCACGGCTCTTGGTGAAACTATATATTTATGGCTTACTAGTTTTTTGCCCGCGGCTTCGCTCGCGTTGAAGCCCTTAAATATATATCTTTCAACCCTTTACAACACTTCTTTTACAATTAAAATATGATAATATAGCCTATGTCCTTTCTCAGGCTCTAGACTATCTGTGTATTAAATTTTATTTAAATCGATTCAGCAGTTTTGGCGTGAAAGCGAGACAGACAGACAGAGCTACTTTCGCATTTATAGCATTGGTAAGGATTGAATTCTTCAAGTTGACTCCGTCGATGGTTTACTTGTACGAGGTGAGGATTGACTCCGTGAGGCCGTGGAGCTGGATGTTCCGGTAGATTTGGCTGATGACCACCGGCCCCGCGCCCGCCTCTATGTTCATCCCGGACACTAGAAGCGGCTCCAGGGGCGGCACGGACAGTGCCGGGATACCTGAGGAGTTTCCAGGGGAATTTACGGTGGTAGGGCCACGCAGCAGCCTCGGCTGTTGCACGAATGGGCAGGCCCGTCCGGGTAAGTCGACCAACGACCTCACAGAAGACCGGCGTAAAGTGGAATTATGACAAATACTTTCGCGTTTCGTCAGGTGAGTGAGGCAGCCGGAGCCCAATTTTCAAAAGGTTGTCAACGCATCTGTAACCCTCGGGTATGGCAGATGTATGTCCATGGGCGGTGGTATTCACTTAACATCAGGTGAACCGTCTGCTCGTTTGACAACTTTTTTAAGGTTTTAGAAAACCATGATTTCGGCTTTATGTCTGTTAACGGCCTAAAACGACTACCCTTTTCGACTCTTATTAAAACAAGGGTCGGTTTTGAAGTAGAAAGCTCAGACCGTATACTTCGGTCTCTTTCACTCCCCTCTAATCACCGCGTTTTTTCATAAGTGCACAAATCTTCATTTTACGTTTCCCAAAAATTGACATTTCAAATAGGTATTTTTTAAATCATCTTTCTTTCTGAATGTGGTCTTATGTTTTTAATATTATCTCATAAATTATATATTTATAAATAATGGCGCGAATAAATTAATTTCGCGTCATTTCATAAGGCACTGTATTGAATCATATCATAACTAGTATTTCGCCCGCGGCTTCGCTCGCGTTGTAGCAATTAAATAAATATCTTTCTTTAACAAAAATTCCAATTAAAAATAGCCAATAAGGACATTGGCCTCAGGCTCTAGACTATCTGTGTTCCAAATTTCATTTAAATCGGTTCAGTACTTTTGGTGTGAAAGCGAGACAGACAGAGTTACTTTCGCATTTATAGTATTAGTATGGATTAGTATGGATATTGACATCTGTGATAAACTGTAGTAATGTGCTTTACAAACGTCATAACCATCGATAAGACTATAGTTGGAAGGCACGTCATGTTACCTTTGGTCATTCTTCTGAGAGCGTCTGGCACTGCCCCCTTTAGGCAGTCGTTCAGCTTGGCATCCTTCTGGCCGCATCTCGTAAAATCCTCCGCTGCAAAAGACGATACGCAACCAATGATGTTTCAATAAAGATGACGCATGTCCATACTGCGCGACGCTTAAAAATTGTTCCGCTTTACGCATATACTGTATATGATATATACAGGGTGATTTTATAGACGACGGACATATTAACAGAGCATATGCAGAATTTGATTCCAAATCTGAATCTGGTACGTACTATTGTGACCTCATTTTTTTCCAAAGGTTATTTTTAATTTTTTAAAACATTATGGACATATTAGAAATTTCTGCATTACCCTCTCAATACAATAACCTATTCACAAGCACTAAAGTTACATAATTACTAAACCACTTATCGATAGGGTGACCACTCTTAACGGGATAAACAAACAATGTATAAATTGATATTTTTCTGGTTATTTCTTGTCAAAATAAAATATGAATATTTTTTTTGAATTATGGAATGCTCAATTAACATTATGTCAAAGTATGTACTTCGTCGAAAAAATCACCCTGTATAAGTGAACGTGACAGATGACATAGATCTTGTGACACGGACAGAGATAGCAATTACATATATTGCGTCAATAGAATAGCAGTCTAATTACACCAATTGGCGTAATTCGAGTGCCTTAGTTACGGTGCGGTATAGTGTCATGTTATCTACCTCTTATTTGTATATAGTCATTATATCACTTAGGAGTCGGTTTGGCAACCGAGGCAAAGGCGATAGGCGATAATGCCGAGTTGCCTTCAATTGCAAAATTCCCGCATTATTCAATTGCAAAACTTGTTTTGATCGCTCTGAGTCTGCTCTGTGGCGTATGGTGTTTTGCAAACTGTGTGTACAGTTTCAACCATAATGTCGACACGCTTAAACGCTGTTTTGTAAAAATGTCCTCAGTCTTGTTTTTAAGTAAATATGAAGAAAGTGTAACACAAACTCTACAATAATGTTTCACAAACTGCATCGCTATGTTAAATAAGACTTGCTAAGGCTAGAAACTCGGTGGTATTTAAGATGCCTTTACTTAAGATTGGTAGATTTGGTAACTGGAGATAAAATTTTGATGTAAGTAGGTATTATTGAGCCTATATCAAATACCTTTCGCCAGTAACCAAATTTACAGATTATTAACTAGAATATGGAAATCGGCCGCTATTCAATAAGGATAAAGCAGATAAGTTATAAGATAAGCAAATATTTATTTATATTCATAGAAATAATAACGGCATTACCGACGACTATTATTATAACTTAGTAAATGAGCTAGCATTTTTTTACATATTAGTACTTTTGTACTCACTTTTTGATTCTTGCGAACCGACTAGATATCAAATTCAATAATTAATAAAACAGTGTATAGTGTGAACAAGGGAAAATTACTATAAAGGGAAAATAAATTTATGCCAGTGTCTTAACACCGTTTATGACATGTTTATAGTTTTGGCTTTAATTAGTTGGTCATTCAGTTGTGGCCACACTGACTTAGCTGCCCAATATTTATGACCGTATAGTTATGGCCGTACTTAGCTGAACAACTTCAAGGTACATCACAAAGTGAGAAAAGAAAAACCAGCCAAGTGCGAGTTGGAGTCGCGCACGAAGGGTTCCGAACCATTATCTATATAAACGGCAAAAAATCATGGCTGTCTGATGCGAGCCCCACTTAAATATTTTTTTTATACTGTCTTTTTGTATTTGTTGTTGTAGCGGCAACAGAAATACATCATCTGTGAAAATTTCAACTGTCTAACTATCAAGGTTCATGAGATACAGCCTGGTGATACAGGCACAGACAGCCAGACAGACAGCGAAATCTTAGTAATAGGGTCCAGTTTTACCCTTTGGGTACGGAACCCTAAAAAGTCTGCGTTATGAACACAGGTAAGGAGTTACACTTTGTTACGGTAAAAAACGGAAGATATTTAAAACTGTTATCCCCTGCGCCAGTAATATTTTTTTTGTGAAAAAGACATTAAATGCAATCAATAACGGTTTAATTAAATACCTGGGAAATATAGCTAAATGTCAAAAATATGTTATTGGTGGCCATTTAAATACCGCGAAGTTAGGTTGTTTTTTTGATGCCGATGAGCGGAGTGCGCGAGCATCGTAAAAATCTTATTCCCATACTTTTTTCGAAACGCGCCAAAATAATCCCTTTCCCTTTAGTCCTTTAGCTCCTTTACATACAAGCAAACCGATTTTACTACATGATATAAGTATTAAACCGCAAAAATAAAAAAATACATAGTAAAAAGAAAAAAAAAATATGAAACAAATCACACAATTTACACACACACACACACACACACACTTGTGTGTGGCATATACGGCAAAAAGACCGCACTAGATACGAGACTACAGCGCTGGTTTTGAGTGGGCCTGTGAATTAAGTGACGTACGGACGTCCACACCATCAATGTTGGACTAATAATAATAAACATAGAACATAGTACATGAATGAACTAACTGGATCTAATGCAAAGAATGTCCGTAACATTATAAACAATTTTGTTATCACGATAAGTTGATTAAAACTAAAAAACTAAAAGGTGTTGCTTTGCCTATTACTTACTTCTCTTGTGCATCTCATATAATGTATGATGTATACACGCTCTGTATATGTTGCATCTGCAGTATTTATTTATGTACTAACTGTGCCCGCGACTTCGTCCGCGTAGAATTTAAAATTAATAAAATTTCTAAAATTAAAGTAGCCTAAGTTACTCCTTATTACGTCAGCTGTCAGTGAGTCTCGTCAAAATCGGTCCGGCCGTTTCATAGATTAGCCGAAGCAAACAGACCGACCGACAAAATTTGTAAATATTTTCATACTTCTATATCTTCCGTCACATGCCCTTATTATATTTAAACTCCGCGTGGTATGGACTTGCGTTGTAAAAGATGGGAGCACTATCGTTTGTTATCGAGATTTCATATTACACCTAAATTGAACACCAATATAGCACTGAAACTCGAAACGAAAAATATATGAAGGTATCCAATATTACTAATACGCGGGCATCGAAACTAATAACTTAGCAACATCTCCAACCCAGCCATCATCATGGGAGTTTTCTGTGTATATTTTTTAGGCTGAAGGCGTAACATAACGGACAGAAAGACAGATATACATAAAAATATGAATATAAATTATAGCCTATGTCTTATTCTTGTGTATAAGCTATAATATTGTAGTTTCATTTAAGTGGAAGTATGACAAATACTTTAGCGTTCCGTCTGGTGAGTGAGGAGCCCAATTTTCAAAAGGTTGTCAACGCATCTGCAACCCTCGGGTGTAGCAGATGTCCATGGACGGCGGTATTCACTTAACATCAGGTGAACCGTCTGCTCGTGAGGCAACTTTTCACATATAAAAAAAATAAAAAAAACCCATTTAGTAGCATTTGCGTGAAAGAGTAACAAACATACATCCATACATACAAACTTTCGCCTTTATAATATTAGTAGGGATCATACAAAGGCATACCAAAAATGATTCAACACTTCAACAGCATTAGTATGACACACACGACCACGAAGAATACAGCGAGTACAATGGAGTTTCTATGTAAGGACTATTGCCGATTTGTAGCCAACTGAGCGCGCGGAACGGGCGAAGGTCGGTCAAGCAGCGTTACCAACTGTTAAAAAAATACTCCTAAAGCAATTCAAAAACCCACAATTTTTTTTATGTGAAAAGTTGCCAAACGAGCATAAGGTTCACCTGATGTTAAGTGAATACCGTCGCCCATGGACATCTGCTACACACCCCTCGTTGCAGATGTGTTGACAACCTTTTGGAAATTGGGCTCCGGCCACCTCACTCACCAGACGAAACGCGAAAGTATTATACTTTCACTTTACGCCGGTCTTCTGTGAGGTCGTGGTACTTACCCGGACGGGCCTGCCCATTCGTGCAAGCCGAGGCTGCTGCGTGGGCCTACCACCGTTACTAAAATTTCACTAAAATAAAAACATTTGCGAAATTTTGGTCTGAATTTATTAAGTTCGCATCCGTGGGGTCGAGACAGTTTGAGAGGGAACATGTATTCGGCTGCTAACCCGTATAGGCTAGATAGAGCAGGAGTTTTAATTAGACTATATCTGTAACATTAGTGCATTGGCATTAAGATACGAATATTGTACAACAAAGTAACCGTATGATTATAAATACATAACGAACAAATATATGTATATAAGATTATATGTTAATATTTTACATAACTTTACGGTGATAGGGCCACGCAGCAGCCTCGGCTGTTGCACGAATGGGCAGGCCCGTCCGGGTAAGTACCACGACCTCGCTGGAGACCAGCGTAAAGTGGAAGTATGACAAATACTTTCGCGTTTCGTCTGGTGAGTGAGGTAGCCGGGGCCCAATTTTCAAAAGGTTGCCAACGCATCTGTAACCCTCGGGTGTGGCTGATGTCCATGGGCGGCGGTATTCACTTCATCACGTGAACCGTCTGCTCGTTTGACAACTTTTCGCATTAAAAAAAACTGGACATTATACGACTCGATTGGATTTCATGAAACATTTTTTTTCCAAACACTTCGAATTTCTGTTGTGTACAGTCAACCGCAGATATTATTACAGGCTTTGGATGCGTCTTCTCAAAATAGAATGCAAAAATTGTGTAAAACTGTCATATCGGCGATATCACAGAACTTTTAATTATTTAACAAGGTCACGCTACGCCCCACTATTTTACCACAGATATGAGTGCTCTAGATTTATTAGACTCTCAAAAGTAAAGAAACAGCCTCTATTTATGTCCCGCTTTTTTTTTTTTTTTTTGCTTTTTTTTCTGCTGGACAAAGGCTTCCGCTATCACTCACAACACCAGAGGAGTCAGTCTTTGAGGTGCTTGCCAATAAAATTCTAAATACAATTCTTTTTTATATTAAATCTGTTTATAATTTTAATTGAATATACAGTTTTAATAATTAGTCTGTGGACACTTTTTGTTCTATTTTTATAGTGGAAAGCAGCAGTTATGATGACTATCAGACAGTGA